GCCCTTGAAAATATGTTCAACATCATTAGCCACTAAAAAAATGCATATTGAAAGCATGATGTGATATCACTTTATACCTATCAGAAGAACCAAAGTATATAAGAATGACAATATCAAATGCTGGTAAGGATGTAGAGAAAATGAATCATTCATGTTGCTGGTAGGGATGGAAAACAGTATATCCACTCTGGAACATAGTTTGTCAGTTTCTAAAACAAAACAAAAAACAAACAAAACAATGAAATACGCTCCCATTCAACCCAATAATTCTACTCCATGGCATTTATTCTGGAGAAAAGAAAATGTATGTGCACACACAAAAATATGTACTTGAATATTTATAGAAAATTTATTCCTAATAGCCAAACATTGAAACAATCCAGATGGTTAAATTAACTGTGATACATTAATACTATGGAAAAGTAGCAACAAAAAGGGGTAAGTATTGATACAGGCAACCAGCTCGATGAATGTCCAGGGAATTGTACCCAGTGAAAAGCTAATCCTCAAAGGTCACATGCTATATCATGCTGGAGGCCACCTGTGAAGTGAGGGTCTTCTCTCAGTATGGCAGCCAGGGAGATTTTAGGCTTAACCTTGGGAACTATCTCCCACACAATAGATGGCCCAAGGCACATGTCCTTTATCTCCTCTCTACTAGGAAGATCTCTCATAGTAGCTCCAGAGATGGGCATAACCCATTGGGAACTGGACAACCTACCTAGAACCTTTTTTGGTGAAGAACCTTCTATGGAAGGCCTTTGATGTCCCCGATACAAATAAAGCAAGTGCGGGTTCCATTTGGCCTTTTTAGTATAGAAGCTGGATCTGTGTGATTGGCTAGCCCATCCTGTCCCCCCTTTCTGAAAATATTTCCTGGGTCCTGTGGTTTTTTCGTTGTTCTATTTTCCTTAGCTTGGATTTCGCAGCCAGCCCATTCCACCGACGGGAACCCCATTCCCATAGCCTGCGTGGGACGCGGGTGAGAGTATCACATTTATATCTGATTCTTAAATGTACAATTATAGAAATGAAGAACAGATTAGTGGTTGCTAGAGGTGAAGGAGGAGGATAGAGTAGGTGGGGAAGTGGGTGTGGTTATAAAGGCCCACAGGAAATGTTTTGATTCATGAATGTATCAGTGTCCATACCCTGTCTGTGATATTGTATTATAGTTTTAGAAGATGTTACCATTGGGGGAAACTGGATAAAGAGTACAGAGAGAATCTCTGTGATTTCCTACAACTACATGTGAATCTACAATTATCTCAATATAAAAAAGACTAATTTAAAAATCACTCCTCGTGCCTGTGTTGCAGCCCATGCTGATTAAATTACCATGTCTATGGGTGGGAGCCAGGCATCAGTATCTTTCCAACCGGAAGCCAGTTGTGAGCAAATTTGGTAACCAATGAATTAGGCATCTCAAAAGCCTCTAAGGAGATCTTTAAAGAGGAGGGTGGAGAGAAGTTTCCCCAAAGTTCTATCTATAAACAGATTTTTGTAAAAGGGTACAACAAAGAAGCACTCTATCATGTATTCTGGTTATAAGCACAGTCAATATGAGGGAGAGGCCTTGGGCACTTTTTATTCATCTGGTAGGCTCCTAACCTTAAAAAGCTTCACTAGATGAAAAGTAACCTAAAAGCCAACATTATTAACCATTTCATTACTGGAATAATTTACCAAAAATGTTTTTAAAAGTCATTTCATAAATACTGCAATTTCTCCCTGTTTGTCTCCATCCTAATACTTTTTTGTTTTTGGTCTTGGGGATTGAACTCATGGGTGCTTAACCACCGAAACCATATCCCCAGCCCTTTCTATTTTATTTTTTGAGACAGGGTCTCACCAAGTTGCTTAGGGCCTTGTTAATTGCTAAGGCTGGCCTCCTGCCTCAGCCTCCCCCAAGTCGCTGGTATTATTGACCTATGCCACCATACTCAGATTTAATACTCTTTATTTAAAGTCTAGTCGAGCTGAGTTATTCGACTGTTAGGTGTTCCTGAGTCTGCCCAAAGTATCACAGGAATGTTGCTCTGTTTTAAAAGTAACATTCCATTCACACCTGGTGGTGTTGAAGATTTACTCTCCTTCCTTCCAAGAAATTTCTTAGAGATCCTACTTATACTTGTTAAAACAAGCAGCCTCTTAGGCCAAGCTGTAAACATAAAGAAGAGAAAAATTAAACTCATTAAACTTGTACCCAATTTGACCTTTACAGTGAATCCTATTGTATCATTGAAAGGATTTCTAGAATGTTCCCTAATTGGATGTTTTCAAGTATTATCATGCTCTATATTTGGCTTAAACCTTCTCTTGGGATTTTTCTTTTAAATTAAAAACATTGTTAAATGCATTAGTAGAGTAACACTATTGTAATGAGAAGTGGTAGTCTTATCAGGTGATAATTGTTTTTCTGTTCTTATTGCCTTAAGGTTCCTTTGCTCAAAGAGGCCTGAGGAAGACATCTGGATTAACCCTGTACATCAAGTCTTCTCCCTCACCACGCCCATTTTCTATTGGATTTTACACCCCAAGAATCACAAGTACAGTAGCAACTCTGGGCACTAACAGAATAGGAAAGATTGAACTATCTTTCCTATTTCCAAGAACTCTCTTTTAAGTAAGATCAAGTGTTGTTCATCTATGCTAGTTAATGCAGTAACTTTCATCTGTCATACAGAAGAGCAAAATTGTTTTTATTGTTAAGCAAAACAGAAGAGTAGAGAGTCATTTCATTTAAGACTGAGGCTCTTCTGAACTTACATATACACAGACACATAGCGTTAAATTTAGTTATGACAACCAATGAAAAACAGGCTGCGCACAAAGATTACCTTTCACCCCATGATGTAAAGTTTCCACTCAGCAACATCTGGAGGCTACAAAGTCCAGATGATTTAAATAGACGACTCAGAGGCAGGAAACCATACTTAGCCTTGGTTCTTTGTGAATACAGCTTCTTGCTGAACCAACTCACTCTGCCTTTAATTCACGATTTTCTAGCCCCAAGTACTCTCATTTTGTTTTCACATGTCACGGGCCCTTTCCCCACTGTGGGCCTTGGCTCAAGCCATTCCTGTTGCCCCAAATGTGCTTCCCCTGGCTCCCTGCCCATTGGCTGCCTCTCAAACTTCAGGTTTCAATTAAAATAATATCACGTCCCATCCCTTTCCCTCTAGAGTTAGTCTTTTGAGTTGGCACTCTGCTTATTTCCAAGTCCTTCTCCAGACTTGATATCTAATAGAAAAATATCTATGAATTAATAAGTGCTTCCTCCAAAAGTTAATACATCAACGAAATGCTTTCTTTAACTAGAAACAAAACAAAAAACCTCCCCAGATATCACACCATTCCCTAACTGAATTTTAATAACAATATTTTTAGTTAAATGCACACATGTAATAAAAACAAAGAACATAATGATTAGCTCAGTCATTTGGGATCAGAGGCGGCCTTCTAACAGTGACCAAGAGGTAGTCATGCAGAATTTTAAGCAAAGTGCCACATTGAGCAACCTGTACATCAGATCTGACCATTCGATTTCATATGTGGTCCCTCTTCAGAAAGATTATATGCATCTGTTATGCATCTTGTTCATCCAGTCAGTAGGCCTCTCTAATGCTTTATGAGTCTTGTGGACCTCTTCCACAAGCTATTAAGCTCCTGGAGAACAGGCACAAGTCTTTAAAGAATAATGGCAAATGCTATTGTGTATCTCTTGTGAGACAGTCATAATGCTATGTGCTCTCCCGTAATGATAAATCTATGCAATTAATCCATAGTTCAAACCCAGGCCAGAAGGACCCAGAATGACCACATGACCTCTACACACACTTTTCTTAATCCTGGGCCGGACACTTTACATATCCTCTGCCAAGTTACCTCAATTTTCTCCTCTGTAATATGGGGAGGATGGTAGTGGTTACCTCAGAGGATAAAGCTTATGAAGTTGGACATAGGTCAAATGCTTAGAATGGTGCCTGGTACACAGAAGATATTACTGTTAGGAGATGTTGTCCTTATCATTGCTTATAGGAAAGCTCAGCGTCCCAGGAAACTCCTCAGTCCCATTTTAGCATGCACAGTCCTTGGCAAAAGTTCATCCTGGATCCATATGACTAGTCTAGCACAGGGAGTCAGCCAGTGTTCTGGTGGTCACTATCCACACTGCCCTGCATCTCCTTCAGAGCTTACCTCAAAAAATATCCTTCTCTCTCCTGTGATTGGCTTTTTTTTTCTTCCTCACACAGTATTTCAGAAAATTGTACTCCTTAGTCCTCAGAGTGTAGTCCAGAGATAGTGTATGGTTTTTGCACATTCTTCCACATAGGCCATCGCCCTGTTTCCGGCATTTACTAAGAGCAAACTATTTGATACATGATAATAATTCTTGAAGGGGTAAAGCGCCATGCCTACCCGAATGCAGCCCTAGTATCTAGTGCCCCCTGCTGCCTTTTCACAGGAAAGGCAAGCGAACGACAGAAGCTTCACTTACTCAATGTTTATTTGCCAAAGCCGAATAGAAAGCTCCATAAATGTGCTAAACTTGAAGTTAGAATCATGTTTATCTTTTCTTGACTCACCCCTTGACTTTTAGATTTTTATTTTGCCTTTGTAAAAATTGTTTGTTTGGTTTTTTTTGCTTAATTATTCTTTTCTCACTTATATTTGATTTCCTTGATTTGTGGCTCTTTTGCTATTTTTCACTTTGGCAAGGCCCGGACTCCAGTGCGTGGCCGAGAGAGTAAGGGGTCTCTAGACCTTGGGCATGGACAGGGGGTCCTCCTGCCCATCTCGGGGATCCTCCGCAGGGTCCAGGCTGGGCTGTGTATTAAGTAACCGGAGGACAAATCCACATGGAGAGCACGTTGTTGCAGCCAATGAAACCCTGGTGCACGGCTGATTGTCGGGCAGAATTAACCAGTGAGAATGCGCTTTGGGTGACGTGAGCCCGGCCCCCGAATTGGGTCTTATAACCGAGCTGGCCCGGGCCAGGCGCCGTGAGGAACCCGCTCCGCAGCGTACACTGCCGCGAGAAGAGCCGTCCCGGCCACCCACTAAGTCACAGGCAGATGAAAGCAAGCAGCAGGTGGAGCCAACAAGCGACAGCAAGCAGCCACATCAAGCCACCCCCGAAGGCGGTCCCCGGGCAGGACCAGGACACCCTGGACACGGACCAGAACGGCCAACCTGGCGGAAGGCGGCAGGAGTCCGGAGGACACGGGGCAGGTGCTGTGGAGTTGTGACAGTTGTTGTTGGACTTTGGCGCAGTCCTGGAGTCACCCAGGAAAGAAGATGCGCGACTAGAGGGGCGTGTTTGCTCGCTCCGGGCCCACGTGGGCCCGGGTCTGGGTCCTGAAAGGCCCCCATTCCTTTCCCTAGCCTTCCCTCCGTCCTCCCTTCTTTCCTTCCTCCTGGGTACCAAGTCATTGTCAGACTGAGGTCTCGGCCCTGGGAAGGTAGAGTTCTTTGAATGGGATGTCTGGGCGCCAAGGAAGAAAGGGAAAGAAATGTGGCGAGGTGAGTCTTTTATAAGATGGATTTTAGACAAATTAATTTTCCATTGTGAGCAGTGCCCAGGGATGATGCCAAGGCAGGGTAACGTTGCTTTCCCTCGCCAAAGCCCGGGGATGCTGAGGTCTTGTTCAGTTTTGTTTCTGTCAAGGAATTGAGATCTCAGGAAGACGATAGTGCAGATCTGTGAACATCTTTGATGTAGAATGTATCACTTGGTGTAGACCTTGTTTTGGATAGTGGCTCTGTTTGTAATCCTTCCCTCATCATAAACTCCATCTAATTTCTAAGCTCACTGCTTCCTTGTAAAACTTGTTCCCATGACTATTACACTACCATTTCAGAAAATTGTTCACTGATGAGCTAAACTGGGATACAAGCAGAAAGTACCCCCAAAGACTATTTTGCCAAATTTGGAGAGGTTGTTGACTATTGTAAAAATGGATCCCAACACTAGAAATCAAGAGGGCTGGGGCTAAAGATGAAGCCAGGGTGGAGAAGGTAAATTGGGTACTCCATCAAGGGCCCCTGTATATGGGATATGATTCTAAGGGAACATTTCTGGGTCATGTTTAGTTGGACTGAGCGACATGTGGTCAAGTACATGGAGGGGTGGGTGCAGAGTTCAAGCACTTGTTCCTGTACAGATTAAATGAGGGAGTGAGAGGTATAAGGATTGGAGTGGCCCAGGAAGGAGATAGTAGATATTTAGTACCTATTTATGTCTCTATTTTGGGGGAATGTGCTAAATGCTTCACATATGAGGATTAGAAAAACATCCAAGGATGCTATGAGATAGACATTGAAGTGCTGTTTACAGAGAAAGAAACAGATTCAGAGAGGAGTGTAAGTAAGTAGAAGAGATCACACAGAGAGTATGGGGTGGAACAACCATAATGCCAACCCTAGCAGCCCAGATCCAGGCAACTGTTTTAATCTCTGCTGCTTCACTCCTGGAGGAAACAAGCCTTAAAACAGGACTTTCATGGCAGGAAGAAGGCTCACAGTTAACAAACTCCAAGGGAGTGAGTACAGATTTATGTGTGTTGGGTAAACTGGATTTCAGGCTTAGAGAATATTGGGAGGACAGACTTGGGTAGGGTATGGTGTCTTTGGAAGGGATGAAATATTTTATGTACCTATGGTAGAATCTTGTGACTCAAAGTGAAGGTAGTAACTCCTGGGCAATGCTCCTAAGAAATGCCAGTGAGAATTGGAATGAGAGTCTGCTGGTGTTAATGTTAGAAATGCCAATGAGAATTAAAATCAGTTTCTCCTTTCTCAGAAGGACAACTGTGGTTTGCAGTTCATAATGGTTTTCTACCCATTATTGAATTACTCAGAGTAATGTGATTGAACATATTGTAACCATTAAAATTGACAGTCCATCTTTCACTTTGCTTGTGGATGAACTGCTGTGTTCTGATTTTTAAGAAATCATTATTGAACATTTGACCATGTTTTCTAAGAGATCAGATAATGAAAATGAAAAAAATATATAATAACCAAACAAAGTAGGACCCCGATCACAGAAATAGAAGGCTAAAAATCTGTGACATTTTAATAATAGATGGAAAGAAACATTTCACTGTATTAGGGAGTTAATTAACCAAAACAGAGCATGCTGCATGTTATGCAGAAAATAATTTGGAATCAGGCATGGGGGAAGAAGGAGATGTGAAAGCTCATACGGAGATTGAATCTCACAAGTCAAGAATGAGAAAGGCATATATTTCTAAGCCAATTAAAAATACTTGTTTTCCAGAAAGACATCAATGTTCAAAATTAACAGCTGCTGAATTAGCTTGGGCATATCACACAAACAGACATGCATAATTGTATTGCTCCTTGATTGCTCTAAAAAACTGAGTAAAGTTACATTTTCTGATTCAGAAGGGTTGCAATTAAAAAATCCTGTGGGTGAACAATGGGAAATTTTGATAACAGATGTATTGGCCCCTTACTGTGTAGAGCTGATTTTGTCACATCTCACCACCAATCATACTTTCTACAGTGTTTCCATTTTAAGTGATGCACTTATCTAGATCACATTGTTGGAATAATGAGGCATTCCAAGAGGGCTTTACTTATTTTTAAAAAGCAATTATGTATTTATTTTTTGGGTACTGGGGTTTAACCCAGGGATGATATATCACCTAGCTACACCCCTAACCTTTTTTTTAAAATTTTGAGACAGGGTCTTGCTAAATTGCCAGGCTGGGCTCCCACCTGTGATCTTCCTGCCTCAGCCTCCTGAGTAGCTGGGATTATAGGAGAGGGCCAAGGGGCCTGGGGAGGATTTTATTTTTATTCTGAAAAGAGAAAGTGTTGAAAGAGAAAGGGAGTCTGAGGAGTGGGGGAGATGGCTGAGATAAGGATGGGCATAGAAGGCAATGGAAAGGACAGTTGAGAGAACTCAAAGTCAAACTTGAGAATACCACTTCCTCCACACTCCAGTGTCTTGCCATCAACTCTCCCACGAATCTCCAGGGATCCTATTAACTCCCTAGGACCAACAGACTTCTCTTGAGTTAAATACTGTCGCATTACTTCCCTGAAATACTTTCACGTGCAAGGAATAGATTCAGTAAATTTCACAAGATTCAATATGTATATTAGCTTCCCTTCTTTCTTTCCTTCCTGAAATTTTGCTGTTAGTCCAGCCCAACAGAATCCTAGAGCTGCTTGGGCTCCTAAAGGAAAAGCTTCTTCAAATCCCTTAAGGACTGCGGATAGGAGGGTTGGAGTTACTACATCCAGCCGAGAAGGCTGAATTAGAGTGAGACATGAGTGTTCATTGGGAAGCACAATTTCAAATGAATTTAAGGTTTTTTTCCTGGGAACGGATTATCCTGGAATAGAAAAGTTTTAAAGTGCTTTCCAGCTCTGGGATTCTTACTAGTCCTCCTAGATATTTAAACCCAGCCATTTCGGGCCTGAAGTGTTAAACCAGAATCTTGATCTCCCAAACACATTTTATGACCCCATAGATGATGTAATGAAATCAAATTTGGGTTCTGACTTTAGACATCTTAATCACTTCGCCTCTTGAACTTTAGCTTCTTCCACTGAAAATGGGGGCAATCTGCTTGCTAGTGCGTAAAACCCTTGGGTTTGCTAAAGGTCCCACAAACGTCCCTCGAATGATGAATGATGAATGACCTTCTCTGTTACTCTGTCTCACCTTCTGGGATCTTTCCTGCACCCAGACAAGCTCCCTGCGAGTGCCTGCCAGTCCCGCAGGAGACAGCGTGCTTCAGCCAGAGATTCCTGGCCTGGGATGAAGCACCAAAGAGTAGCAAATAGGCGGGACCGGGCGCCTGGGGTGTAACCGGCACTCTGGGGCTGGGCTGCACCGGGTTCAGTCGAGAGAGGGCGGGACGAAGCGCGTGCGCGCAGCAGGGAAGGCGGTGCCCGGAAGGAGCTGCTCGGCTCCGCATGAAGGCAGTTCTCGGGTAGAAAGGTGCTGGTGTGGAGACCGCTTCCGGACTCCAGGTATGGCTCTTGCCAGCGTCCGGTCCCCTCCTTATCTCACGGGGAGGGTTCAGGCTGCAGCTCTACTGTGCATCCCACAGTCGAGATTTACCTGCCCTGGATTCTCTTGTAAAGGCACAGAAATAAAAGGGCCTTTGCCGACCTTTCCAATCCCTACAGCAAACAAGGATGCAGAGGACCTGGGATGGGGTGGGGAGGGACTTTGGGAGGATTGTGCAAAGGGTGGAGTCTGCCCTCTCAGCGATGTTTTTTTTTTTTTTTTTTAATTCCTTCTGGGAATTTTCTGAATTTCTGCCTTCCTGCGGCCCTAAATCTTCCACCCATACTGCCTTCTACCCTTCTGGAGCTGAACTGTTGGTTAAGGTGGTGGGATGAATTCATGGACTATTGCAAAATCGCTGGATAGGGTTTTAACCTTCCCAGCACCACCCAGATTTCACTCGAAAATGTCAAGTCCAAGGAGCACAAGGATAGGTAATTGTTTTATTCTTAGCATGTGAAAATGCTTTGTATATTAGTTTACAGAAGATCTCTTAGTTTTCCAAATTTTGGAGGACTTGGCGCTGGGAGCAAGGCATGGCCTTGTCACCTGGTTCTGTTCGCAGTGCAGTAAACCATTTTGCTGCATTGCACCCAAGATGCTTTCTGGCTTTTTATAAGTCTTGAGCATCTACTTTAGGACAGGAGCATGTGAGGGTGTGATGGGCTGCCCTGCCCACACCTCATCTTTTTCAGGTTAACACAGCCTCTGGCTTTAATGTGTGCTTCTGGCCTGGCCACGTGGCCCTGCTGTGGCAGAGGAGCAAGAGGGGTGCTTATTGTTTGTACAGATTTTCTCTGTAATAACAACATTTCGTAGGATTAGGAATGTTTATTTTGCCTCTTTAGAATAACAGTTCACTCAGTTTGATTCTTGGCAATATAGCTAGAGGTGGGGGTAGGGAACAGATGAACTACAGGTTATCCTCAGGTAGAAGCTGTTTATGTCCCATTAATTCATTCTTTACTTAGTACCTACCTTGTGCAGGGCAGTGTGCTTGGTGCTGTCAGAACAAAGAAGTGAATCTGGGTTTGTCCTCAAGGTGAGAAGAGAATACTGGCTCCCTGAGCCTGCAGAGGGTGTGTGGGCTAGGGAGGGAGGGAATGGAAAGAGGAGAAAGGATCCCAACCTAAGGAATTCTACACCAGGTAAAAGGGAATGTGTCCCCAAGAGAGAGTCG